GATAAGCGCCCAATCACACATATAGTTGAAAAACATAACCCTGCTTCTAAGCAGTTGGGTCAAGCAGCCATTTAAAAATGTTGAGAGTGAGTTTAGGGAGAACAAGGCACTAAAGTTATATGTCATTTAATCCTTTCCCTGTCGCGTAAATGAACATTTCGCTTGTTTTACTATTTTATCTATCTTGTGGACAGGGAAACTGAAAAGTAATCATCGAGTTTCAAATCTCAACGATTCTAAAGAAGATTTCACTTAAAAAAATAGCAACTTATAAAATTGGGCAAGAAACGGTCAGTCTTCACAAACCTTTGTTGCAGTTAGAGTAGCTTGATATGTACGGAACACATTCGCTGGTGCTGACAGATTCTGAAAAAGCAATTATTTTTCAAACAATGTATCTTTAATTTACTCAAATAAATTACTGGCCACTGCTTCCATAAGAGCTAACTTTATTTAACATCGGTTCGCTGCTGAAACTAAAAATTATCAAACATTATTATTTGAACAAAACTGTTAAAAATATTTTTCACTTTTAATGCTAACGCATACTATTTCGGGTTGAAGTATATTTAAAAAGCGCCTGCTTGTTGAATCAACGATTAAAAAACGTTGGATGATTATGTGGCGCCTCTGTTATAACGCCACAAGCGAAACGAAACGCACTGGAGTCTAAATCACGCTATCAAAGTTCCGAAGTACTGCGGTATATACCTACCTAGGTATAGAATATCTCTATACAACGTTTGATGTCGCAAGCATATTAAACAATGACACTACACCCACATCTAATGCAATAAACACTATTAGGATAACGGATGTGGCGAGTCAGTCCCTTAGGCGGGTACGAAATTTTCCCGGACACACCGCGTACACACCGCATACCCGCATATCTGGACGATATTCACACCGCCCAAAACAGCGACTGTCATGAGCTAAGCAGTCAGAGGAGGGGTTGCGCACTCTCCCAATCGGACAGCGGTTAGATAGCTCGAAAACCACCACAGATGGGACATGATTGGTAACAAAACCAAATGATAAATCATCACCACCACCACCATCATCATCATCATCATCATCGTCTTTGCCTTCTCTTATACAGCAGAGTCCTGTATCAGATGAAGCTGTAAGAAAAAGGCTAATAGCACTAAGATCTTCATCTTATTTTTGTGTCACATTGACATTATATGCAGGATACATATTGTATGATTTAGCTGTGAATCTGTAAACTGAAGTTTGTTAAGTGCAAATGGAAAGGTACCATAGTGATAAAAATGTATTCAAGTTGTGTGTGTGTGTGTGTGTGTGTGTGTGTGTGTGTGTGTGTGTGTGTGTGTGTGTGTGTGTGTGTGTCGTGCGTGTCTGTGTGTGCGTGCGTAAGTGCGTGCGTGCGGGTGGGCGGGCGCACGTGCGGTTTAATTTCTGGATGCCAATAATTATTTTGTATTCTTTTCCGTCACCATTGTGGTGTAGAAGTGAAGATGTGCATAGTTTAAAATTGCAAGTAAAATATAAGGCAGTGACTTTTGTAAGAGGCGACAGAGGGAAACTAAAACAGGTAATGGACAGCATCCTCTTCTTGATTTTAATTCAAATTATAAAGAAACTGAAGTTGCCAACCCACTTGCCAAGCGCGGCAACTATGGCAAAAGGATCATCTTTGCGGCAATCTATGGGGGAGGCCAACGTTTAGCAGTGAACTTTTAAAGACTGTAATAGAACTAAAATATAAGTTTATAGTTAAATAATTGTGACAAAACCTTGTGAAGTGAGATCAAACAGCAATGCGTCTACATTTGTTCTCAAAGCGGGATCGTCATTCGTCGTATCCTGGTTCTCTTCTTGTAGTATTTCACCCACTTCTCTGTAGTAGTCACATTTTGCGTCTCCCATTGCCAAACAGCTGGATCCATCACAAATTGTGCAGTCACTTCCATTCGTTCGGCGAATGAAAGGGTCACCTGCTTTAGGATAGTGGAGTCCCCAAGACTGTTGCAAAATAGCAGGTGATAGACCTTAAAACAAAGTTAGAATTTTAGAATTTTTTATAGAATAAGGTGAAAACGGAAATCTACATTAATCTTCAATTGAGAATCAAAATGCAGAATGCGTTATCACCACTGAGGACTAAGATATAATGCCTCACAACCAGTAATAATACTGGCTTTCTATAACTTTTCGACCGCAACAAAGCAAGGCATGTGTTGCAGTAAGAGGGTGGTAACCAAACGGAACTTAGACTGAAAAAGAGTTGTACTAAGGAAAACTAAAATCAAATCTTTTAAAATACGCTTTAACAGTGGTAGAGCCACGCGGCAGAATACCAGCGTGAAGTAGAGGTTTACCTCTTGCGTTTCGCTTGGTGAGTGCAGGTGGCCGGAAGCCATTTTTACTAGAAATGAGGCATTCCATCTTAGTCCTCACGGGTGACAACGCATCTGCATTTTAATTCGCAAACGAGGATAGATGTAGATGTCTATGGGCCGCAGCAACCACTTACCATCAGGTGGACTGTGTCCTCGTTTGTCACCCTTATCCTATAAAAAAAAAAACGCTTGGATTTCAACGACAGCGTTCATCGACATCGTTTATCGACATCGTTCATCGACATTCACCACCCCTACAATATAGCACTGCTAAACGTGGGCCCTCTTTCATGGCAGGGAGGATTTGGATTTGTCTTAATCGTCACAAATTTGTTGACAATAAAAAATATAAGCAAACAGTTTGCAGGATACCAGCGTAAAATAGCAGCTCAATGCTCCATTGAATGTAGAGTCACGTATCTTAATAGACACTTTTTGCTAGAAACGAGGCATTCCATCTTAGTCCTCAGGGATGACAACGCATCAGCATATTGATTCTTAATCGAGAATAAATAGATGTATAAGCCCCAGTATCCACTTATCACCAGGTGGACTGTGCGCTCGTTTGTCACCCTTATTCTATATAAAAAAAAGTTACTCTCACCAGAGGCGGAGCTAATGGTAAGCAGGAAAACGGATAAGCTGTACATAGCGACAAACTGACGCGGGAACAATGCTAGATCGGATTTCGTAACAATTCAACGTGTTTATGAAAACGTGCATTTCACGAATGGGACGTACTTTAAGTATTAATTAATTTTTTTTTGTCTGTTACCCCTATACTAGGATTTTCTCCTGTATCTTTAAGGTAGTTTACATACATGAATTGTACAAGAACAAACATCCAGACCCGGAATAATTACTTGTAAGCCATACAAATGCTTGTTCCGTGCGGGATTCATACCGAACCCGCGGCCCTTAGTACCGTTACTGATTGCTAAGCCACTGCTCCACGAAGCGTTTATTTATTAAAAAAAAGTTACCTTCACACTATGATATTCTCCTGTCTCGTGGAGACAGTTTACATACATAAATTGTACAAAGAGAAACATCCAGACTCGGAATAATTATTTGTTAGCCATACAAAAACTTATAACGTAAGGGATTCCAACCCACGGCCCACAGCACCGTAACTCATTGCTAAGCCAATGCTCCACAGAGCCTTTTTTTATTTAAAAAAAAGTTAACTCCACACTATGATTTTCTCCTGTACCGTGGGGGCAGTTTAAATACATGGATTTCACAAGGACCAAGATCTAGGCCCGGAACAAAATTTGTAGGCTATACAAAAACTTATCCCGTGCAGGATTGGGACCCACGGAACTCAGCGCTGTAACTCATTGCTAAGCTACTGCACCACGGAGCCGTCACTTTTATATTTTTTCTTCATCTTTATCAGCCCGTAAAAGTCAATTCCTGGTTATGGACCTCTCCCGTTGTAAGAAGGATTTTCCCGAATAGCCTTTGAAGATGTCTCACTCTCTTTTCAGCTGGGTTTCTTGCTGGTTTTTTCCAGGTCAGAGGTTTTTCCAAACCAATGATAAAGCTGATCGTAAACGAGATCAAAGAGACCGCGCCATCTATTGGAAGCCATAAGATTTATTTACCGACGTGGAAGAGCCACGCTGCAGCAATATTAAGGTTTCAGCGGGAATGGGTCGTCTCGATCGGGGTAGGACCACGGTCTCGCAGAATACCAGCGTAAATAGCAACTTAAAGCTGTTGCGTTTCGTTTGGTGAGTGTAAGGAATTTTTGAATTTTGGTTTTAAATTGAGGATGAATGTGCGTGTAATGTTTTTTTTTTATTTACGTAAATACTACACATGGAATAAAACTAATTTTACGGATTTTATCGCGTCTAATTTTATATTTTTTGTTTCCGACTTTCGGGCTCTTTACAGCACCCACTTCTGTTTTTTGTCTGAGGGCTACAGCACCCACTTATCGTCTGGTAGATTATGTACTCGTTTGTCATCCTTACTTCTTCAAAAAATGTGTAATCCCATTTAATAATCCACCACTTTTCTGCACCAGCCAGCGGCGTCATTAAAAATGAATTGCAATATTTGACAGATTTCATAGCGGAGAGGTTAACTTGTTCGAAAAATGTGAAGGCTGACATTTTCTTTTGTACTATTAGTTATATTTTATATTAATTAAATTAATAATAAATAAACCAATCCACAGATATTCATAGAAATAAAAAAGAGTTAAAATGTGCAACAAATTGAAGAGCAAACCATTAAGACATTGTTTTGTGTATTAATATAAAACTCTAGAAACTGACAAACTATTTTTTAAAACTAACTTCTCAATTACATGCCATTTTGTAATAAAAACTTCACCTATGTCAACTAGCGACATCTGGTGAGCGGAAGACGCTAACGCATTTGGGATTTGGTGTTTCAATCGAGATACTTATTTGAAACAGTATAAAAAACAACTTTTTTATACTGTTTCAAATAAGTATCAAACTTCAAACTTTTTTTTTTGTTAATTGACACAAATAATTTCGCTCCCAAATGCGGATCTGATCAAGAAATGTGTATTTCTTCCGTGTTTACAAACAAGTACCGCGTGATGTCGGCGTTATTGTTACGCGGCCGCATAATACGCGTCCGACGGTGACTGTGAGAATGCTGCTGTTTGTGCTCCTGTTACATAATGCGGTAGCTAGTGGTGAGTACTTGTTGCATACACTCGTTCGCTTTTAATAGAATAAGGGTAACAAGCACAAAGACCCCCTGATGGTAAGTGCACGCTGCGTTCTATTGCCATCTACATTTATATAAATGACACCATGATGTTTATTTATTTATTCTTTATTGGATGCCCTAAAATAAAAGAACACAAACGGCGGATTTAATGCCCTGAGGCATTTTCTAACAAATTTGACATAGGGCGTAGCAATATATATAATTATACTAGCTGGCCAGGCAGACGTTCTTCTGGCCTTTTCGATGACACTTCATATAAAAAAATCCTTAAATTCGCAATAAAAAATATTGATGGTCACTTAACGGGATAAAAACTATCCTATCTCTCAAGTTGGACCAAACTGCACCAGTGTGCAAAATTTCATTGAAATCAGGTCAGTACCTAGTTTAGGAGTTCATCACGGACAAACAATGTGACAAGTAATTTTTATATATAAAGATAATTTTTTTAAATTTTTTTGTGTTTCTCTTATATTTGTTCTTTTGCTTGAATATTCATAACGCTGTTTAATTATATATGTAAGCCTATGTGAAATAAAAAAAAATAGAATAAAAAACAAAATAAAAATGATAATTAACTACGTAATATATACATTTTACTAATAAATAAACTATACAAATATAACCTGTACCTATATGTACAAATATATACATATATACACATATATATATATATATATAACTATGAATATATATGTCTGCTTATCAATATAATATATGACATGGATGATTAATTATTAGATGCTTGTAAAGTTTTTAAAAGCATATTTATTGGGTGCTTTTCCGATGTCATCGGGCAAGGAGTTCTAAAGACGTGTAGCCTGAACGGTGAATGAGTTACCATAGAACTCGGTGAAGTGAACAGGAATACAGATTTTGTTCTTAGAAGCGGAACTTAGAAACTTATTGTGAGATGAGGAGGGGTAGGGAAATCTACTCTTAAGATAATAAGGCGAAGACGGATCATTTAATATGGAAAAAAAGAACAAGCAATGTTCTGGAATGATACCTTCAAATAACGATGGAATACATTTAAATTAAACAGAAACAGAAACTTTTTTATTCAATATAGATTATAAATAATACTTATTATTGAAAGTCACTCTTTTGTTTGATTACCACTGGTTCGGAAAAAACCTCTATCCTGGAAAGAACCAGCAAGAAACCCAACGGGACTTTTTTTTAAATAACAAAAATTATGATATTGACATTGTAAATTATAACAGTTTGAATTATATAAATTACAGTTATTTTTTTAACAAACGATCACACAGTCTACCTGATGGTAAACACATATTGCGGCCCATGGACCACATCAGCATATCCATATCATCTGTTAAGAACCAAAATGCGGATGCGTTGTCACCCCTGGAATTAAGATGGAATGCCTCGGTTCCAATAAAACGGTGTCTGGTTCTCTACCTCACCATAATAAATACAGCAGTATTGAGCTGCTATTTTATGCTGGTGTTATGTGAGCCTCAGCTCTGGCCATTCTTGAGTTATTTAGACTACATAAGTCTACTAGGTGTTATTGAATTTAAAAAAAAACGTGTGTGTGTGTACTTATGTCCACACGTAGAAAGTTATACTTCTTTAGCGTAACAAAACAAAAATAACTAAAAATAACTACCTTCAATTTAGTTATCAGTTCCCACGAGAACTTGAGAGACAGTTACCCAATGAAGTTGTCGCTTATAGGTGCGCGCACATCGTAACAACTTCATTTTGTCGTTTTTAGCTGTCGGTGTGCGTGCGCATTGTAAAAATATACTTTCATAATTTTTCCCAAACCATTACAAATATTACAAATAAGTATAACTTCAAAACAAATTTAGACTTTCACGAAGTTTGTTTAGCGTTGAAATCACAACTCGTAGTACTTTGGACTATACTGAAACTAGATTCTGATTGCAATAATATGTTTATATTTTTTTTTTATAATTATAATATTTATTGATATATACAGTAAATATGTGAAGTTTATGATTGCCGAACAAGGATTTATACCTGTATCTCTGTGATTAGTGCCCGCTCCTAATTTTATAACCTAATATGAATTACTGATGATTTCTATGAAATAAGACAATCTTTGGTACGTAAATGGGTTACTTTGATTTCATGATTAGGTTTGATGATCAGAATAAGGTTAATTTTTACGGATTTTATCGCTTACATTAACTTATTTTACATACGGTCACGGGGTGGGGGGGGGGGGGGTGAGGTGTATGACGTCCCAATGTCATAGTTAACCACTGCTACCTCCAGCTCAAAAATTATTAATTTTTGTTCTGATTTACGCAGTATGAACTTACAGTATCTTGAAGTCTTGCAGTTGTATGCTTGGATTGACATATTAATTATGGAATCCCAAGCAGATGGTAGCAGGCAAATGTAATAAACTTCGTTTTGCCTAGATTTAATGTCAGCAAATTTCGAAACAGCCATGTCCTAACTGAGTGCAATGCGGACTCGGCATATGATCTTGCCTCCTCCCAACTCTGTCCATGAACAATAATCGCCGTGTCGTCAGCATACGTAACAATTTTGCTATTTTGTAGTTTTACTTGACACAGATCGTTTTTATATATCAGGAACAGAGTCGGACCAAGGACACTGCCTTGCGGCACACCGTATTCACGATTGTATCTTATCGGGAATTTTACCGCGATGTGCGTTGGTGAAATTTGGCGGCTGGGATTAATCCGAACAATTCCTCAAAGCACTTCCCGTGGTAGATGCTAAAGAAAATGCAAAGGGACCTCTTCGCAGCGCCAGTGAGTCAAGCGAATCGGAAAGGACACGGTCGACGACAGTTCGAGCCGCTCTGCGCTGGATGCGGTCAAGTGGAAGGAGCTGGTTCTGGGGAACCCCAGCCCAGAGATGGGAACAGTATTCCATGTGAGGCCGATCCTGCGCCTTTAAGCCTGCGGTGTGCCGGCGTGAAATACTGTCCCGCTCTGCTGAGCACGCCAAGCTTTGTAGAAGCCAATTTGGCCTTCCCTTCTAAGTGACCACGATACTGCACGGCACTCGATATATCGACTCCGAGGATTCCGATACTGGCTGAGGCAACAAGGGGAGTGCCTTGAAACTGAGGAGATACGACAAAGGGGTTCTTTTTAGCGGTAAGCGCGCAAACTTGTGTCTTCTGAGTCACACTTCATATTTTTATTTCTGCATCACCCAAAGGTTGAGACTGCTAGAGAATGCCTCAGGTATTAAGTCCGCCTATACGCCTCATAATATTGTATGAAGTTGAAATAAATAATTGTGTGCGTGCGCAGTAAAATCAGTTAAAATAATACATTACCACGCATTTTAGGAATTTAAAAGATAAAGAGGACACAAAGTTTTGTGATATTTTAAATTAATTTTCTTTACTGTTTGCCTATATTACTCATTCTGAACCTTCTCTGCAATTTGGTCGGTTATTGCAAAATAACCCTGTATATAATATATAAGCGAAATACCACTGATTCACTCACCAAACACGAAATCTCCAAAACTATACGCCCGGTTGATTTGACATACACACTTTTACATATATACTTTTTTCTCGACGTAGACACCCATTTAGAAAGAACTTTAGAAAATTCTACCCTTGAGGGGGTGAATTAGGGTGTTACAACTTTTATAACATATACATACACATAAACAAATATGTATCACTTTGTCTTTAGCCCCTACAACTTGTCACGCCAACTTGGTAATCCTATTTCATTAATCCTTATTTTTGTTTCTACAGATTACCACAAAGACGCAAATTACACTATAAAACGTGTGGAGACATGTCCGGATGTAGGCTTCTTTTTCGAGCGAGAGTTTGCATCAAACAACTTGGAGCCAGGTGTTTGCCACCTCTGCTTCTGTAAAGGTGACGGGACTGCTGTTTGCTGGCAAAAAAGAAACAGCCGTTGTGATGCGAAGTCACACAGAACACTTATGAAAAGGTTTGATTTGTAGCTTAATGAAGATTTATGTTTAACTAGAGATCCGCCTCTTCTTCGCACGGGTGATTCTCGACAACTTCGACAACAGCGCTTATGTGAATATAAGCTATCTAGGGGTCCATACAAACACATACAAAAAATTCATTAAAATTGATCGAGCCGTATTTGAGTTTTAGCGAGTTTAAGAGAAAGATAAACAGAATATTTGACAATAGGTCATATTGAAGCAGTAACAAATATTTGTGTAAAAAGTTTTTAATTGGGTATTCTACTCATGTCGATCCACTACTATCCCAGTACACTTTTCATTTTATCGTAATTTTTATGGTTATATACGGGGTGGCGATAAGGTTATCACATTACCCCTCTGTCCTATTAAAAAATCCTTAAATTCGCAATAAAAATTTTGAGGGTCATTTATTTGGGATAAAAACTATCTCTCAAGTTGGACCAAACTGAACGCAGTGTGCAAAATTTTATTGTAATCAGTTCAATAGTTTAGGGAGTCCATCGCGGACAAACAACGTGACACGTAATTTTTATATATAAAGATTAACATTCTAGTCGCAAAAGCCCTTTTTTCGTTTTTTGCCTAATTACTTATGAACGGGAAAGTGTAGGTATATAATTAGCTATGTCGATGCCGCGTGAGCACTGTGAGTACCTGCCGCACCGTTGCCGCTTTTACATGTCACTTCTGGTCAGTAAACTAATATTATCAAGGTGATTTATTTCGTGTCAATTTTTGTTTGAAAGATGCATTTATTTATTTTTGGTAGAATTGTTTATTTTATAATTTTAATCGACATATATGAACTTGTATATACCGCTGTGTTATTTAATGTGATAACCTAATCGCCACCCAGTAGAGTAATTGAGAGTTTCATATTATATTATTCGTATTCGTATGACATATTATACAGACCGTTTGAATTTCATATTATTACACAGACCGTAGAGCCGTGGTAGCTTAGGGCTAAGCGCTCACTGTAAATTTCACAGTACGCAAGCAACCCGGGTTCGATCCTCACTGGCACCAATGAAATTGTTTATCACTGATTTACCAAGTGTGCTCGGCGGTGAAGCAAAATATCGTAAGGAAACCTGCATGTATGAGAAATAGGAAAAAAAATTCGAAGGCATGTGAAGTTCGCCAACACGCATTGGGTCACGGCGCGGCGGATATATCCTTGCCCTAAAGCCCTCTCAGAGATGAGAAGAGACCTGTACCCAGCAGTGGGACGTATATAGTGTGAATTCCATATTACACAGACGATGTGAATTCCAAATAGCATAGTTTGTGTGAATTTCATAATATTATACAGGACGTGTTAAATTACATTTTATACAAACCGTGTGAATTCTATATTACACAGACGACGTGAATTCCAAATAACATAGTTTGTGTGAATTTCATAATATTATACAGTACGTGTTAAATTTCATTTTACACAGACCGTGTGAATTTCATAACATAATTCGTGCTGTAGACACAACAAAATTACATGTATTATTTTTACAGAGGAGCAAGAATTCGTCGGAGTCCAGCTGGTTTTGCTGATGTTGCTTTAAAAGACGCTGCCAGGAATTGTAAGAATTATTTTCTATTAGTATCTTAGTTTTATACTCGTAAATATTATGTATCCTGACTTTTTGGTTGAATGCTGATAATTTGATTTCGCGTTCGAATCTCTGATTGGGTCAAAATCAAGTCATTAAGTTAGAAGTGTTTGAACCCCTGGCTTCGGAAAAGGACGTGATCTTGCGGTTGTACTCTCTCCGGCTGTGTCGGTTTGTCGACTCATCGGATCTTGAAGTTCGGTCTAAATGATATTATTCTGGTTTGAAGGTTATAGAGAGTTAGTATTGTTAGAAGCTGTGAGTATCTTAGACCACAGAGGTAACAATGCGCTTCGTGCCTCCTTTGTGTGAAGTTAGAGATGGTCCTTCACTGTTGGAGAGAATTATGCTTGGATATAAATGTTTAGAGGTTGTCTGCATGATAAAATCCTTAACGTCAATATCTTCAGTGGAGACTGAGTAACCATCATAGCTAAATAGATTAGGAAGCTGAAATGACAATGGGCCGACCATATATCCCGAATAACCAATAATCGATGAAGAGGAAAAGTTCTCGGTGGTTTCGTGTATACAGAATCCAGAATTGGTCATTACTAAATAGAGTAAAGTGGTGATGAAATAGACAGAATATCGATAGATAGTACAAATGTTCTCGAGCGGCGGCTTCATACTGGTAAAAGCAGTGTTGGGTTGCTTCCACTAGTTGACTTGGTAAGACATCCAGGAATTCACGAATACTGGTGGGAATAGGACCATTTTTCGTGGAAATCTTTGGGGTTGGCCTATATTCAATGGTAGCCTCGTGAAGAGCTGTAATGATGGTGATGATAAATTTACTTGGTGTCGGCATGAATGTAGCAATACTAGGTAGAAGCACCTTTATACCTTTTTCTGGTACCAGAGCTTTGCATACCTTCGCAAAACCTACACTGCTGAGATTCGGCCTGAAGGATATAGGTTTGTACGAGGTAGAGCCATGCTGCAGCTATATTACTGGTATAGTTGTAGTACGAATGGGTCGGCTCGACCGGGGAAGGGCCACGCTCTCACAGAATACCACCGTAAAATAGCAGCTTAACGCTGCTGTGTTTCGTATGGTGAGTGTAGAGAACCGGAGACCCCTTTTTACTGGAAACGAGGCATTCCATCTTAATCATCACGGGTGACAACGCATGTGCATTTTGATTCGTAATCGAAGCTAGATGTAGATGTCTATGGGCCACAGCAACCACTCACCATCAGGTGGACTGTGTGCTCGTTTGTGACCCTTATCCTAAAAAAAAAAATAGAACGTCAGGCTGTTAGGCATTCTATCTTAGTCATCTTCTTCCCATTTCACGGTGACGTAATAAAGTAATGTGAGTATATCTTTCAGTGCACTCTGTTTAGTTTTCAGCAAGCAGCCGCCGTATCACTGCAAGCCGCTTGGGTCCAGTTTTAGCGATGGGTGTCCACCAGGTAAATGATTACATTCTGACAGTGCTTTTCATAAGCACGTTGATAATGAAAAGCACTTTTCGTTATGTAAATTTGTAAGCTTATTTTGTAGTTCGTCAATAACCGTGTAGTGGCAGTGTAAGAATGTCCACTACCTCATATAGAACTGAAAGAGGGGATGGGAAAAAACTGCGTTTGCCAACCCGCCTGCCAAGTTTGGCAACTATGGCAAATATATAATGTGAATTTATTGGGGAGTTCAGCAGTGGACTTTAGATAGGCTGTACCGGTACCGGTCAAATCATCATCATAATTATCATTTTAGTCTTTCAAGAGTTCACTGGTGAACATAGGCTTCCCCATTTATCTTATAAAGAGATATTTGCCATAGTTGCCACGCTTGGCAGGTGGGTTGACAATTGCAGTTTTTTTATTATCATTATTGACTTTTTATCAGAAGATGCTGCTGCCCATCTCTTGTTTGAGCTTTCCTCTTACACACCCACGGAATGATAGGAGGTAGTTGGTATTCCTAAATCGCTACTACACGGCTATATCACATTTAATAGAGTACATAAAACAGATTCGATGCTAGGTTCAGACTTTGTCCCTAAGGCTAAGCGTTCACTAGGCTCACATTTACTATGAAACTGCATCCATTAGCGACGAGCCATACGTGCGATTCCATTCAATTCGGCGCGCCCCAGTCGACGTGGAGAAGCGGATGCGCGCTAACGCATTATTTTTTAATTTCTATTTTTGTTTTCGTAAGAATCTTGATGTTTAAATAAAAATGAATAAAGAACTATTGATATCACTGGTCTAACAATATCCAGAATTGTTTAATCATGAAGATCCACATTATCACCATTTGCGTCATAGACGAACTGTCCATGACGCAAAACGACCTATTTTGATGAAGAATTTGCGATGAATGAACAATTAGATTCGATTCTTCAGAGATCGACGCACTAGGAATAAATGCGACTAGCTTCGATTCGACTTCTTTCTGCTGTAGTCGACGCTAGGCTTAATAGTATGAAACTTTAATTTCATTATTTCAGATGATTGGTGTCTTGGATGTACAGTCTGTGATTGCGATACCTCTGGTCACTGGAGCTGTCATATTTTAAGTTTTTGCTCGGACAGTAAGTAAAGACATTTCAATTTTAAAAGATAAGTATAACTTGTCTCTATTCTACTTATTTCAGTAAGTCCTTCTCATCTTCTAAGCTATGTAGTAGCATAAGGAATTTCAAGTGTTAATATTGTTTGAAGTTTTTACATGACATGTCACTTAATTCTTTATTTTAATTTGTGTCACATTTCCCTTTTTTCCTCCTTTTGTATCAGATATAATTTTATAGATTGTCATTATAATTTTATCTTTCCCCTCTTTTTTATTTTACAATCTGTTCCCGTGGGTATTTGTTGGTAAAGTCCCAAAAAATAAAACGAAACAATAAAGTGTTCTAGCGGTCGGTGAGAATGTGCTCAGGAATTGCATGTTACTTACTATCTACTATCCTAACAGTCGCTGATATTATACTTGATATATCGTAGTTTTGATAAAGTTGACTTATAATAATTATAGAAAGCTTCAGTTTCGCATATAACAGTGTCAAAAGTAATTTTCTGAGAGTTTTATTTTATAGAAAAAGGGGCAAGCGAGCATACGGCTCACCAGATGATGAGTGATTATTGCTGCCAATGAACATTCAATTGCAACACCAGCGGAATTGTATGTGCGAATTCAGACTTTTAAGAAAGAGCACGCACTTTTCTCAAAGGTCTCTAAGTAGATTTTAACAAAGAAGCCATACGAGGTAGGAAACTACTGCTATAACGCACAGTATAGGACTGCCAAGCATCCAGGTGGCTTGAATCATAATCTATGGTTTGAATGGTTTCAAAATTTTTATTGCAATGTTTTTTGATGGAATTAAACGACTGTAATTAATCAGAATAACTTATGGTTATAGAGTATATAGTATATAAAAAAGGCAATATTCTAGTCTAGTCTGGGTTACTTCATAGTCATAGAAGGTGCCTTTGACAACACAAATTTCTCCAACACAGAAGTTGAACTCGGCAGACTTAGAGTTGATACCGGTACTAATTGACTGAGTAGTGAGCATGCTCAGCAAACGTACGATAAAAAGCTGGTCGGTCACAAACAGCCCAATAATAAAAGGCTGTCCTTCAAGAAGCGGTTCCATCGCCACTTCTATGAAACATGGTGATAAATGATCTTATCAGCAAATTAAATGTAAATCATATCCATACCCTCGAGAAAAACCAGCATAGTCTGTGACCTAATCCAGTAGTCCTACGTATAATAGAGCAATACAGTAAGGACTATGGTTTAGCCGTCAACCCAAACAACCCAGTAATAGTAATGTTTACATAAAAAGAATGCTGATCAGCTATTATCTTCCAAGTCTTTTTAGCATCTAACTCTAGCTTTATTCTGAGGTAAAAATTTAGGTTTAACATTCTACAGCAGAGTTTGAACTATGAAAATATGACAGAAGCATGACTGGCAATCAAGAAGATCTGTCGCCCGAAATCAGACACAACTTTTCAGTACAAAAGAAGGGACTCCATCTAGGCCACTTGACTTGTTAATGCCAGGAAGAAGAGAATGCCCCTCCTCTCCATTGACGCAATTCTTAATAACGTTTAATTTGTACTATTGAACCTACTTGAGTATATTCTGATATGACCAGTAGTCATAGCTACTGTACAATTACTATTTTATTATTTTTGCTCTTTTGTGCTTAACTGAAGTCATGTTTACTTGATAGTTACATATGTAAGCAATATACAATAGTAAATATCATAATTTACGAATATTAAAAAAACTGTGTAAAATAGTTTTGATAGATTAGTAAGTATTCTCAAATACATTTCAGATTTTTAATAATTTCAAGGTCTTACATTAATTACATTTATTGTTAATTACGTTTGTATTTAATTTGCAGAAAAAGCGCTTAAACAATTTCAAAACCACAATAGCACATTCACCCGAAGACCTATTAAAATTCACCCGAAATCATCCAACCACACTAATAGTGTAACATTAAATAAATCTACAAAAAAATTCAACATTAATGTAAAATCTAATAATATGAAGAAACCACGAAATCAAGAGTTTTCTATACCAAAACAAAAATCATCTATTATGACATCAAAATTATTACCAAAACATGACGATAAAATGGTTGTTATTGAAAAGGAACTTGTAGGACGAAAACCTACAGAAGCAGAGGGTGTTAGAGCAAAAAAGATTTTAAATGAAAACAATCCTAATATAAAATTAACTCATAAAGTAGTTCAAAGGGTAATGACAGCTGCACAGAAGATAATAAATAAGAATGAAAGAAATATTGCAAACGCTACTAAATTAATCAAAGTTATCCAAAAACGTTCAATGATGAATCACGAGGACACTGGTTCAAAATCTACTATCTACAATCAAACAGAATATATGGCATCGAGAATGTATAAAAAACCAAGTCCAAGGAAGTTTAGGAAAAAACTCTCGATGAAAAACATTGCCGACTTTAATAAAGCAAGTGATAGCAAAAGAATGAAGAGACATGTTGTATATCAAGGTACTGATTGAATATAATATATTGTGTAGGTTTTTTCCATCCAATGGTAAATATTTTTCTCCATCTACAAATTACTTACAAAGAGGGGTCTGACCATACCGCTCTTAGAGAATGCCTTTTATTTCTTTCTTCTTTTTCTTGTTTCGAATTAAATACAGTTTAATGTCTTTAATCTAAAATCGTTATCTAACGCCAGGTTTATTTTGTATCATTCTAATCATTATAAAAGCAGTGTATGTTTTCATGGTTATAATTGCTAAGGATTGATTTGAGTAGGAAGTTTTCGAGTTTGGATTTAAGGCGATTGTCTTTATATATTCTTATATGCATTCAGTCTATCTCAGGATAATGATCTGTATGTTTTAATTATGTTGTTATTATGAAAGTGACCAAAAAATTCCAGCGGTACTTCCGTAAAAAGTGAAGTTTGCTAATAAATGCATTATATAAACGCAATTACACTAAGTTAATGTATAATAAAAGTAAATAAGTAATTAAATATCTAAAATTATCTTTTAAACTCTTTTAGTGGTAAAGCTTTATTACCCTAAAACAATGTTTGCTTAAAACGTAAATAGGAGACACCTTATTTATTGGAAATGAATAGTAAATCGTTGTAGTGTAAAATAACAGCTATCGCCACGGCTGTTGATCATTTTAGACATGTTAAATATGTATATAGTATAAATATTAATAAAATTAATATCATTCTCATAATAAGGATATATTGAAACTACTTTGTGACAATTCAGTTATTCTGTCCCTAGGTAATGTTACAAAAACACAGCAAACGACGACAGATTTTAACAAGTATTATCTTCGTAGAACTCAACAAAGCACAGTACCAATACTACCAATGGAATTGAACAAGTCCAGATATTATAAATATAATGTAGTTACAGAAAAATATTTTGACGTAAGCAAATCTAACATAACTGTGCACAGAAATCAAACACAAAACTTGTCTACTAACTTACGTCCAAATTCAAATGAATTAAAGTTTGCAATATTGTATCATGCTAAGAATAAAGAAGAAATAGTTTCTACGAATAAAACAGGTATTAACTATTTTACAACTGTGGATAATATTAACAAAGCCTTTAACAATTCATATATTAGTACATCAAGTGAAACAAATCTTGTAAAACAAAATATAAGATTCAGTCGACAAGAAAGCTTAAAGACAAATGGAATAATATTAAGAAATGTAAGTAACGACCTGAATTTAATGAGTAGTCTACTAGACAGAAATGAAAACGCATCAGAAACCTTGAAAACAAAAATTGAAAAGCATGACTTTAAGCACAAAATCAAAGTAAAACATTTAAATTTTTTGACATACTTAAAAGGACTCTTTGCCAAAATATTTGCACGAAGTAAAATAATTCAAAATATTAAAAAGGTTGGTAGACCAGAACTACTCGATAAACAAAATATCTTAGATACATTTTGTATTAAAAAATTAGAATGTAAAGTTCATCCACAAGACGAGATAAAATTGCAGATTAAAATGAATGAGCTAAATGGCGAATTGTATAATATTATAGAAACAACAAAAATAATTAAGAAACTGTTAAAAATAATTATGACTAATGGTAAAAATGAAACAAATGAAAAAAACTTTCGTTATGATATACAAAGTTATTCTATGACTAGGTTTCTAAATAAAACAAATAACGCAAAATTGAGAGATAAAAGAAATCTTCAGATCTATTATATAAAACATAGTATAAATATTTTTATAAAATCTATTGGGAAATTTCTAAATATTCTTCAAGAAATACTTAATATTTTGACATTCAGGGAAGGCAACAAACGATCAACACATCGTCCTTTACGATGCACTAAAGTAATAAATAAAACGAATTCTAAAGCCTTAACAATGGAGCAGAAATTCAAAAAACTTAAATCGATTATAGTTAATTACAATCTCCTCCAAAACACTTTTATAAAGAAAATTTATGAAATGTTGACCAAAATGGAATCAAATTTAACCAGTGCCGAAAAGAAAAATAAATTAAAAAATCCTGATAAGGAACATAAAAATAACAAAACTCTTGCTCTTGAGACCTATACGAAGAATATAATTGAAAATCTTAGAAAACTGAAAAAATTAGCTCAGACGTTGACTCAAACACATAGAAAAAAAAGGGCGACGACGATGAGAGATGATGATGCGATAGAATATTTATTGATGCTGATGGAATACCTGCTGAAACAGAACTATCCATTAGACGCCGCTCCAGGTATTGTGGTTTTTAAGACTTGTTCTTATTTATAAAATTACTAGCTGACCAGGCAGATGTTGTTCTGCCCTCTCCGACGACCCTGTGTTCTATAAAAATTCTTAAATTCGTAATAAAAAATATTGAGGGTCACTTATATGGATAAAAACTATTCTGTCTCTCAAGTTGGACCAAACTGCACACAGAGTGCAAATTTTCATTGCAATCAGTTTAGTAGTTTAGGAGTTCATCACGGACACGTAATTTTTATATAATAATAATAGTAGTAATTGCAAGCAGTTTTCATATCTAAATATTAAACGCGTAATGTAATGTTACAAATACTAAGAAAAATGAGGAAATTAGTTATTAGCTACTTACATACAGAAGTTAAAGATCAACAATTTTAAATGTATTAATTAATAAAGAGTTCAGAACAACGTCGAAAATTTTAGTGCTTATTGAGAAAAAAAATATGAAAGTGTTTGTACTAAACCAATATAATTAACTAAAAATTTTCACGCGATCGCAGGCAAAGTCGATACAAGTATACTTCAACACGTTTCCTCAAATACATATTTGGGTATGGTAAATTTCAAATTACTCAACTCTTACATTTTGCAACTTTATGTTTCAGTAAATGATGGCATTGATTTGTTGATTGATGCAATAAAACACGCACCAGACATAAAGTTCATAAAGAAGAAAGTTCTTGACACCCCAACAACAAAAACAACTGTAACACGGACTACAGAAAAACCGACAGCCGCAACTTTCTCATATGTGGCTAATATATATGGTATAGATAGTTTGGAAAAGGAAAATAATACGTTGGACTCTGAAGAAAATGAAGTTATTTTTCCGCCAAAGTCTACTGATGATGGGAACAAAAAAGAAGGTTTTCAAAAACTTCTTTACGGACAAAGAAAATTTAGTAATAGTTTTAAGTTAAGCAATTTAAATAGTGTGGGTAGTAATTCTGACTTGAATTTTGTACTTTCTACACTAGCACCATCAATTACTCCTACTCCGTTAGTAAAATATGACTTTAGTAATGTGCCTCTAGATACTGAAAACTTTGCAAAAAGTGAGCCTCAAGTTGATATACACGAAAAAGATGATGACGTGATAAACTTTAAATCGCACAAAAATGATAACGAAATAAGCAAAGATATTGTAAATCTAGAATCGATTCACGCCGATAATGAAGAAAATTCTCCGACTGTAGGAATAGTTGTTACTGAGTCAGACATTGACATTCCAATAACATTTCCAACACGAACAGTGCCAGTAGAAGAAGTAACAACACGTAAATTTCATCACATGACTAAAGAGAAATTCGAAAGTCTTGATACTTTCACAAATAATAGAAAAAACACAAAATCGAAAGTTGGCTGGGTTGAATATGATCAAGAGGAAAATAGTGGTAAATTAGTTCAACGGAAAACCACGTCCAAAACTAAGATGGGTCTATCTGCTTTAAAAAAAGGAATGAAAGCAAATAAAAACGATATAAGTACTATAAGTAAGGAAATCATGGATGAGAAAAAGAAGAGATTTGATAAAATGAATTCAGACCCTTTACTCAAAAATAGATTGGATTTGGTAAATTCAATAGAATATAGTACTTTAAGATTTGATATAGACACGTCGGATTCTAAAGATGGCGAGCTGGAAGATACGTACGTCAACGATATTTTCCCATCTTATTTCGCATGAAGTATTTTTACAATAAATAATCTATAATATGTTATCTTTGTTTTGTTTGTTACTTTTTATGTTACTAATTACACCAATTGATATTTTAAAACAACAAAGTCTATTTTAAAGGTTTGAAATATGTATCTTATTACTCCTTGCTTAGTATTTTGGTGATAAAAATCATTTGATTGATTATTTCTCGTATGATAATTGTTTTTATTTACATTGTTAATTATTGTTTGTTATTTTTGTAGTTTTGTAAACGAATAGCAGTTACAACGGTACTTGTAAACAAGTTGTGCAAGCTAATTAAAACAATTGAATGTAGAATTTGTATTATTTTATGGAATCTGACTTAACAAAAAATTTACTTTAAGAGTTCTCTACCTTCTTAAAATAAATGAGAGATTTTTAAATCAGTTAAAAAAAGGGCTTGTCAGGTTTATCCCTGAGTTGAGGGGGAGTATTTCCTATAGAATGGGCGTACAAATTAAAGGAAAGCTAGAGCGCCAAACTAAAAATAAATTTAAGTATTTAGGATATGAAAAGTGGTGAAATAAGTTGCCAACATTACGAAAGGTATTTGGTACAAAACGATACAGAACGAATCGTTGTTTGAAATTTCGTATCTGTAAAAGGAATCGCCCCGAATACCTTGGGTATTCGGGGCGATTCCTTTTACAGATACGAAATTTAATAGAAATACTATTAAACTAATATTTAGAATAAGAACGGGTCACATTCCATCAAAAATTTTTTTTGTTACTTGATGAAAAGAACTGATTCACCTAATTTTGAAACTTGTTAAATAATAGAAGACTTACATCATTATTTAATGGAATTTCAGCGGAACCGAGGGGCAAGGGAATTATTTATAAAGACATATAAGATAAATGTGTGCAGTATGGGTATTGCGCAAGGTATTCTACATATCCCCACCTCGGATATGCATTGAGTATGTGCAGATTAATAGTAAATATATAGATTTTAAGTTAGTCATAATGGGATTGAAATGTTAACAAACAAAAATCCTTAAATAAATAAAGAGAAAAAAGTTACCAGCATCTATCTTTCCATCCGATTACAATGTGAGGTAAGAGTGAAGGTAAGAGGAAGCAAGTGCACTTTACTATCTTTGGCTGCATCCTTAGAATTGGTTCGCAATCTGCGAAGATACTAATAATAATAATAATTTTCTAAAGTTAACACCCAAAATCGGTGACACAAGCATTGTTGGCCTGTAACGCTAACAATAGCTAATGAGTTGTATAATGTCGGATTGCATAAAGAAAAAAAAAAGAGCCATGATAAAACGCTTGTAAGTCACCTATTGCAAAACATAAAAAATATCTTAAAGATAAGTTAAGTAACCGAAAATTAAAAAATGACAATCTTTTGTTTTCAAATGTGAAACGTTATTGTTACTAATTTATCAACGTACGTAAGGTCATTTTAAATGATTAGTGGTATTAAGAAAATTTTTCATAAACGTGTTTTAGATACAACAGTTTTCTCGGTTATAAGTTCAAGGCTAACATGTTTTTTTTCTGCTGCTATAAACTGTATGGATTTATCAAACGATTGTTTCAAAAAGCTTATTGGGGTGTAACATGAAATAAACTGGCAGTAATTCTATTAAAACACATCACATCTTTTTCTACAGAATAAACGCGACGAACGAGCACACAATCCACCTGATAGTAAGTGGATGCTGTGGTCCATAGATATCCACATCCATCCTCAACCAAGAATCAAAATGCAGATACGTTATCATCCCTGACGACTAAGCTGGAATGCCTTATTTCCAGTAAAAAAGGTTCTCCGATTCTCTGCATTCACCATACAGAACACAGCAGCTACTATAGAGCCTTTCCCCGGTTGCGCTGATGCATTTGTGGTCCAACTATAATATAGCTGCAGCATGGCTCTAAAACTAGGTGAATAGAGAAGAAGAAATGATTACGCGGTCGCCGCTCAGACAGAAAGTTCAAGTGCATGTGTGAACTTTGCCCTTTTCGTAAATAAATTAGAATAATGTGTGTGTTAAGTGATTTGAATTAGAATTAAGCGGATAGAGAGCCGTGTGAACATTTATAGCTATTTTTCAAAGAATAGCCAAATTTTAAACTTAAGTTCAAATATATAAATAATGATACACCGTTATTGTAATTTTTTAAAATACGAGTAAATAAGGCTTTTTTTTAATAGGATAGGGTGACAAATGAGCATACAGTCCACCTGATGGCAAGTGGTTGCTGTGGCCCATAGACATCTACATTTATCCTCAATAAAAAATCAAAATGCAGATGTGTTGGCACCAGTGAGAACTAAGATGTAATGCCTCTTTTCCAGTAAAAAAGGTCTCCGGTTCTCTACACTCACCACACGAAACACAACAGTGTTAGGCTGCTATTTTACGCTGGTATTCTGTGAGAGCGTGGTCCTTCCCCGTTCGAGCCGACCCATTCGTGCTACAATTATACTATAAATACAGCTGCAATATGGCTCTACCACATAAAAACGGCATCTACGTTTGTTTACAATTATCCCAAGTCGAATGTGATTTATGGGCAACAACTTTTTTGCCTACCTACCCTTACGTAATGTGTACGTAAAATCAGTTAAAATAATGCATTACCACGCATTTTGAATTTAAAAGATAAAGAGGACAGAATCATTGAGATTTTTTTAAATTTTTTTTTCACCATTTGCCTATATTACTTATTCTGAACCTTCTCTGCAAATTTGGCCGGTTATTGCAAACTAACCTTGTAGTAATATGATAAATTAAAAGACTGTAATTTATTAAGTTAGTTATTTAATTATATTGTAGGTATTGCAAGACTGTCATCATCAGCCTGCGGCTATCAACTGCTGGATATAGGTCTCTCTCCAGGCGCAACTTAGCCCGATCTTCGGCTACACACATCCAGTTGCTGCCAGCTGCCTTGCGCAGATCGTCGTTCCATCTCACCAGGGGGCGTCCCAATCTACGTTTACCCAAACGCGGTCTCCACTCTATGATTCGCTACTATTTTACGCTAGTATTCTGTCACAACGTGGTCCCATCCCCGGTCGAGCCGACCCATTCGTGCTACAACCTTAATGTAGCTGCAGCGTGGCTCCACCATAAAACATCTGTGAGAGTTTTGGAACAATTAATCAGATGTCCGACCTACCTAGTATTTTTTGGGATCATCACAGCTTCCAAAAATATACGTGTGTTTTTATAGATTTTTTTGTTTCTATTATTTATTGAATGACAACAAGACGTAAGTTTACAATACTTCAATACTATTACGGATCGCCGTAATGCCGTGCGAAAAATGGAATAAAACGCGCTGGTCTTGCTTTTAACTGGAGGCAAGCGGCGGTGAGGAGGAACTTGTACTTTTTCTTTTCTTGCTGGTGCCTTTTCGGTGGCTGGAGAGCGACTGCTGACCCTAGTTTTTTTTTTTTTTTTTTGCGCCCGAAGCAATTGGAAATGGGCTACCCCGAAGGGAGGCGGAAAATGCATTACGCATACCACGACAGCCGGTCTGTCCTGGTTATGTGGGACTCACTGCCTACCGGGGGACCTAAGTGATACCCACTAAAAACCGCCTTTGGGGACTGGCAACTAGCTCTATTAAAGCTGCATATGCCGTATCTAAAGCGACCCTCTTTTGGGAAAAGAGGGCGCAGACGGCTAAGTGCCGTTTAGGGACTGCCTACGAAGGCATATTATTAATTTTAACTAATTTTTAATTTAATTAGGATTGGCCTGAGCCGCCAGGAGGCAGTTCAGGTCGTTTGACAACTTATTTGGCGGGTCCGAGAGAGTGTTTCTCGGCCTGCGGACGCTATAGCGAGAAGGGAGTGGGGCGGTATAAGTAACTGCCTCACGAATAAGTGTGTTAGTATGCGACTCTGATACTTTAAAGAAGTTTTCAGAGAATTTTTTAAGACATTGCTGGATTGTTGGGATTTCTAAATCCCGGTGAAGGTCGGCATTACGGACGTACCAAGGTGCGTTCGTAGCTCGACGACAGAAGAGGTTTTGAACTACTTGGAGTTCGTTAATAATTTTATCGTTAGCGTGTGCAAAAATAGGAGCCGAGTAAGTCATAACCGGTCGTATACAAACCTTATAGAGGGTTCGCTTATTTCGTAGTGACATTTTGCTATGTCTGCCTAACATACTGTTAAGCCGACCTAAATAGAAACGTGCTAGACGCGTTACTCTTTTGACATGAGACTCAAAAGTAAGCCTATAGTCAAGGGTGACGCCTAAATATTTTGCTGACATGTGCCATGGGACAGGGGTCCCTAGCATTCGTATAGGTGGAGTATTTTTCTTGTTTTTATTACGGCGTCTTTTAATATCGAATTGAACTGCGGAGCTCTTCTCCGGGTTCACATCGATACGCCATTTTTGGAACCAGTCTCCTAGGTCATCGACTGACTTTTGGATCTTATTCCTTGCTGAAGATATTCTAGGACTTTTGAAGTATAGTGCAGTGTCATCTGCGAAGAGTGAGAGCTGTACACCATTCGACGGGATAGGAATGTCGTTGGTGTACAAGATGTACAGGAGGGGAGCTAGTACTGATCCTTGAGGAACACCAGCTTTAATGGGGCGCTGAGAGGATAACGTGCCTTCGTGTCTAAAACGAAAGGTACGATGTTGTAAATAAGAGGCTACGAGACGTACTAGACGATCGGAGAGTCCTATCCTATATAATTTGAAAATAAGGCCTTCATGCCAGACTCGGTCGAAGGCTTTGGCAATGTCGAAAAAGACCGCGATTGTCTTTAGTCGACGTGGATAAAAACCGCTGAGGATATATTCCACAATGCGGTGTACCTGTTGTGGACACGAGTGTTTTGCGCGGAAACCAAATTGGTGTGGGATGACAATGGGGTCACCGTCTGTGGGAAACAGATGGCGCCTCATTCGATTTTGAATGACTCTTTCAAAGAGTTTGCCCATGGCCTTTAGGAGGCTAATGGGACGATGACTGGAGGGGAGGTTAAGA